TATTGTCATAGAGATTTAAAAAATTTTTAAAAGATCTGTTTATTTGTACTTGTTCGTTTTCCCAGCGCACCCCAAGAAAGATCGACCCTGCCAGCTACAAACAACATGTGGAGCTTCATTTAGGGTACCAGACTGTGACAGGACTACAACTCCTCTCTATGAATAAACCAAAGGATGACAAACGCTATTTTTATTGTTCTAAGAATATAAAGTTTGGTAAGTGTTGTCTAGGAGAGTACAGTGGACCCCCGGTTAACGATTTTAATCCGTGCAAGAGGGCTCATCGTTATGCGAAATAATCGTTATGCGAATGAATTTTCCCCATAAGAAATAATGGAAATAAAATTAATCCGTGCAAGACGCCCAAAAGTATGAAAAAAAATTTTTTTTACCACATGAAATGTTAATTTTAATACACACAAACTGAAAAAGGCATGCACAATTAAATGACACTTACTTTTATTGAAGATCTGGTGATGATTGATGGGATGGGAGGAGGGGAGAGAGTGTGTTAGTGTTTAGAAGGGGAATCCCCTTCCATTAGGACATGAGGTAGTTAAGTCCTTTCTGGGGTTACTTCCCTTCTTCTTTTAATGCCACTAGGGCCAGCTTCAGAGTCACAGGACTTCTTTCGCACAAGATATCTGTCCATAGTGGCCTGTACCTCTCGTTCCTTATGACTTGCCTAAAGTGTTTCACAACATTGTCAGTGTAATAATCACCAGCACGGCTTGCAATAGCTGTGTGAGGGTGATTTCTATCCATGAAGGTTTGCACTTCAAGCCACTTTGCACAGATTTCCTTAATCTTTGAAGTAGGCAACTTCTTCAATTTCTCTCTCCCCTCCTCCGAAGCAATTTCCTCAGGTGTGGCCTCTTGCTGTTGAAGTTGATCTAGCAGCTCATCAGTGGTTAGTTCTTCATTGTCCTCCTCCACCAACTCTTCCACATCCTCCCACTAACCTCCAACCCCAAGGACTTTCCCAATGCCACAATGGATTCCTCAACTGGCACAGGATTCTCAGGGTTAAGCCTCAAACCCTTCAAAATCCCTTTTGTCTACACATTCTGGCCACAGTTTCTTCCAAGCAGAGTTCAAGGTCCTCTTTGTCACTTCCTCCCAAGCCTTACCTATAACGGTTTACACAATTGAGGATATAAAGTGATCCTCTCCAAAACTCTCTTAGAGTCAGTTGAGTTTCTGAGGTCATTACAAAGCACCTTTCAAACAGAGCTTTTGTGTACAGTTTCTTGAAGTTGGATAATAACCTGCTGGTCCATGGGCTGCAGGAGAGGAGGAGTGGTATTAGGAGGCAAAAACTTCACCTTAATGAAGCTCATGTCCCCATAAAGTCGCTCTGCCACGTCTGTAGGATGACCAGGGGCATTGTCTAACACCAGGAGGCACTTAAGTTCTAATTTCTTTTCAGTTAGGTAATTTTTCACATTGGGGGCAAATGCATGGTGTAACCAGTTATAGAAAAATTCCCTAGTGACCCATGCCTTACTGTTTGCCCTCCACAGCACACACAAATTATCCTTGAGGACATTCTTTTGCCTGAACGCTCTGGGAGTTTCAGTGATACACTAATAAAGGCTTCACTTTGCAATCACCAGTAGCATTGGCACACATCAACAAAGTAAGCCTGTCTTTCATAGGCTTATGTCCTGGGAGTGCCTTTTCCTCCTGAGTAATGTAGGTCCTGCTTGGCATTTCTTCCAGAACAGGCCTGTTTCATCACAATTAAACACTTGTTCAGGTTTCAGTCCTTCAGTTTCTATGTACTCCTTGAATTCCTGCACATATTTTTCAGCCGCTTTGTGGTCCGAACTGGCAGCCTCACCATGCCTTATCACACTATGGATGCCACTACGCTTCTTAAATCTCTCAAACCAACCTTTGCTGGCCTTAAATTCACTCACATCATCACTAGTTGCAGGCATTTTTTTTAATTAAATCCTCATGCAACTTCCTAGCCTTTTCACATATGATCGCTTGAGAGACGCTATCTCCTGCTATCTGTTTTTCATTTATCCACACCAATAAGAGTCTCTCAACATCTTCCATCAATTGCGATCTTTGTTTCGAAAACACAGTTGAACCTTTGGCAAGAACAGCTTCCTTGATTGTCTTTCTGGTGCCCACATAGTAGCGATGGTTGATTGGGGTTTCTTGTACAGCTTGACTAGGTCGGCTATACGCACTCCACTTTCATACTTATCAATTATCTCTTTCTTCATCTCTATAGTAATTCTTACCCTTTGAGGTGTAGGGTTGGCACTAGAAGCTTTCTTGGGGCCCATGGTCACTTATTTTCCAGAAACAGCACCGAAAATACTGTAATAATACGAAATATTCCGAGTGTATGCTTGGATGTTACCGCGGAGGCTGGCTGGTAAACAATGGGACGGAGCGGCACATGTGAGGCTGGCTGAGGGCACATTGGACGCGTCTCGGACGAAAATCGGTATGCGGGTTTTTAATCGGTATGCGCGGCAAAAATTTTGCGATAAAAGTAATCGTTATGCGGAAAAATCGCTATGCGATGCCATCGTTATGCGGGGGTCCACTGTATTTGCCAGTTTGTTCGGCATACTAACAACTGAAGGACCCAGGTTCAACCCTAGGGCAAAGGAGACATCAGGCAGTAAATAGGGACCTAGGGGGTAAGCGATTTGTGGGTGATGATACAGGATCGAAAAGAGCCTGATGGAAATGAGCCGCACTGCTTGGCTTGCCTGGATTATTTTGGGTTGCAAACCATTTTAGGTTATCAGAATAAAATCTTCAAAAATGGTGGTAATGTATTGACTTGTCATGTGACTAAATAAAAGGAAATGTTTAAAAGTGAAGAAAATAACAGGAGAAATGTGCAGAAAAAAAAGTGACAGGACATTAATCATTCAGGCACACAGTAGATGCTCACTCTTAGAAGTATAAGGTGTTTGAATAGAAGTATAAACTGTGGGTGGATATTATGGATGAGTAGAGGAATTAGTTCATTGTACTATTACCATCAAACATGATAACAAAGGCTCAGGTTACTGAACCAGCTTTACAATGACAACTTTTTGCCTTACCGAGTCATAACTTGATTAAGCTCTATACAAGATGGGAAGTACAATACCTGCACTTTAAAGGGGTTTGGTATATTGGCTGCTTGGAGTGATATCTAAACTGTTGTATCTGAGCACCTCTGCAAAGAAAGTGATTATGTATGAATGATAGTAAAAGCGTTGAATGATGATGAAAGATTTTTGTTCCTTTTTTGGGTCGCCCTACCTCGGTGGGAAACGGCCAACATGTAAAAAAAAAAGCTTGTTCTGCAGTTTGTCTTCATCTTCTTTCAGGAATTAGCTTGTTAAGCATTCATTCTTTTTTTTAACATGCTGGCCATCTGCTACCAAGATAGGGGGTGACCAAAAAAAAAAAGAAAAAAAAAAAGAGGAAACACACACATCAATATTCATTCGATGTATGTCTAGCCAGAAGCATGATGACAACGAGGTTCAGATGGCTGTAACATCCTCACCCCTTCAGATTACAGACACTGTATTTCTCACCTTCAGGGCTCAAGTCAGGTTTACATATGTTTGGGAGAATTATGAAGTGACCAATCCCTACTTTCCTTGGCATGACTACATCTCGCAAACATTTCCTCATAGAGAGAGTGGAGACAGCAAGAAAGATTGACTTGATTCCTTTCTCTTCCCACTGGTGAGCTTTGTGAAGAGTGCAGTCTAGTGAACTCACTCTCCACATGCACACCTCGAGAGTGTGTGTATATGTTTGTTAGGAACACCAGATTTAACTCGGTAGAAATAATCACAAGCAGTAAGGTTTGAGAGTTGAACAACCTTAATGGACAGTATCATCTATTATCTGGGAAGCAGTAATGCAGGCACTGTACTTTTCACCTCCAGGGCTCGAGTCCAGCTAACCAGTTTACCTGAATCCCTTCACAAGATGTAAATGTGCTCATCAAGTCCCAAAAACCATTTGCCCTCCACTCACTTGTAACATGCTTACACATGCCTGCTGAACATCCAACCCCTTGCACACAAAACCTCCTACCCCCAACCCCCCTACCCCTCCATCCAACATTTCCTAGGGTGACCCCCCTACCCTTCCTTCCCTCCACTTCAGATTGTATTTTTTTTTTTTAACACTTTGGCAGTTTCCCACCTAGGCAAGGTGACCCGAAAAGAAAGAAAAAACTTTCATCATTCAGACACATTGTATTGTTATACACTTTTAATTCTATTACAGTACACAATCCTTCATGGGGAAGTGGAAAAGAATTCTTTCTCTGTAAGCCATGTGTGTCATAAGAGATGATTAAAATGTCTGAAGCAAGGGGCTAGAAACCCCTTCTGTATAAATTACTAAATGTAAAAAAAAAAAAAAAAAAATTCTTTTCGTGTCGCCCTGTCTTGGTGGAAAGACAGCCAGCGTGTTAAAAAAAAAATTTAATACTAATATGTAGTCTTATTAAAAGGATATTGATGTTAGTTTAATTTTTCTACTGTAATCATTTTTTTTTTTTTTTTTTTTTTTTTTTTTTTTTTTTTTTTGTAAATACAGCTTCTCCTCACTTAACAGAGTTCCGTTCCTAAGACTGCATCGGTAAACGAATTCGTCGCTAAGTGAAGAGCATACTATAATGATAGTGGATTTGTGTCAACCATCTTTGATATTGTTTGAATGTCACCTTTGCACCATTTACAACGTTTCTGGTATATTTTTAAATATTTGTACAGTAGTGTACTGTATATTGTAATAAACAGAATAGAGGAAATCAGCTCTAATATACATTATTTAGGTATGCATGCTAGTCAGAGAGTCCGTCCTAAGTCCGAGTCGTTGGTAAACAAGTACGTCGCTAAGTGAGGAGAGGCTGTATTGAAAATTAACCCTGTGAATAACTGTTTACATCTAATATATGGAGGTATGTGGGAGGGCAGGGAAACAATCTTATGCCACAATGTGTACAAGATTTGTGCACATTTTCTCTCTAGGTGCAATAAGTGAGACCTTCTTTTTTCAATCCAAGTTTTCTGTTCACTTTCAGATGTTGAGTATGAGGAGAACATGAACCATTCACAGTGTTGTTTTCCAAGAAGACCTATGTTACAGAAACAACCTCCCAAGCAGCAGCGGTCTATGTCAACCAGCTCAGAGGCATCGCCTGACTCCTCACACAACTGGCTGCTACCCACAATAGGAGTAATGACAGTGCTGGCTGCCATTGTGGCAGTGAGCCTTATGGCCAGACTTCGGGGTAAACCTTGATGAACTTGCTCAACTTGCAGCTAAAAATAACAGTTCAGTGCATCAAGTGCATCACAGTCACTTGGCAGAATTTATAGGTTGGTTATACATATTTTACGAAACGCTAAACTACGGTTGTTTACAGAAAGGAATGGCCGAAGCTTCATCCTCCATCCACTGATTGCAGTCCATACTCTGTCCATAATTTATTGATAATTATAAACAGGGATTTTGTATTCAATTTCTTAAGAATTTTTTGGCAGAATATGTACATAATGTTTTTTTATAATTAAAATAATTCTAAATACTGTAGTACATGTGTTTGTAAGCATGTGGGTGCTGATGAGCTCATAGGATTGAAATATGTATCTCAAGCAGGCTAGTTAATTAGCTTTATTTAGACAGACATTGTCACTTATTGGTAAGTGTTTGGAAGGTAAAAAAAACTGCTTGGTTTTAGTGAAAGAAAACCAGTGTCTAAGTCCTTATACCATTCTCTTAATGGTTCTGGGGATTATCTTCCCTAGGTCCTGGTCTCAGGCCAGGACCTAGGTTGGAAAGAAAATATTACAGGATCAGAAACTTTTAAGCACATAGGAAAGTAAACGTATGTGTATATTGAATGCAAGTTGAGACGTTTATAAGATTGACCTGTCATCTTGCGTGTTCAAGGAAAGTAAACGTATGTGTGTATTGAATGTAAGCTGAGACGTTTATAAGATTGACCTGTCATCTTGCGTGTTCATGAGGCAGTGATTGGTAATCTTGCTATAGTGCAAAACACTTAAGGTTTCCATTTCACACTCATATGACAGGACAGTAGTTCCTCAGTGGAAGGTTGCTGCCTACCAACTTAATATTTTACGAGTTGCCAAGATAATTATCTATTAGTGTCTTTGGTATATTTCCTTCTGTTGGTAGAAGCAGAGTATTCTGTTCACTGCAGTGAACAGAATACTCTGCGCTAATTAAATTATATAATTTACCTCACCTTGCAATTGCAGATACCTTTTACTGCTTGAAGTTTTCAGATTATGAACTTCAAACATATGTCTTAAACCTAACTCCTAATTTAAATGTTCTCTGTGGTAAACACTTGGTACCTTATTGCCACTACTACTATTAAAAAGTTTAAATCATTGCTATATTTACAAATAACCTGCACATAGGAGAGAGAAAAGCATACAATGATGTTTCAGTTGGACTTGGCTCATTTACAGTCACAGTGTGACTTTGTAAATGGTCCAAGTCGGACTGAAACATCGTTGTAAGCTTTTCTCTCTCCTATGTGCAGGTTATTCGTGTATTCTAGTCACGGTATTGTGCCTTTTTGTTCTTAAGTTCTGTATCAATTTGCAAGGGATACCAAGTGCAACAATCACATGAAACCAACAAACTTTGATAGGCTAAATACTGAAGACAAGATACCACAAGATACTTCTGCTTCTACAATTGCAGTAGGTGATCATATGCCAGTATATATATATTTAAAAGAATAACTCGAAATAAAGAAGAACTTTTTACCGCAGAATCGAATAACACGATTGC